GTTATTATATTTTATTAAACTCTTTGATGTTTTACTTATATTTCTAATCCATCAACCGATACGAAAACCGGTTTTCATATATGCGACAAGTTTGGCATGTGTGAAAACCGGTAACCGGTGCAAATAAATACTTTTGTATTTATGAATACGCGCAAATAAGTCAAAAGAGATTTTCCCACAGAATCGTTGGGGGTGCGGCACGTGCAAATGCTGATGCTGTTCCTGGCTATGATCGTTTGCCACATGATGCGCGCGAATATCACGCTCGCCATTGTCACCATGACCGACACCGGCCAAGAAGATGTAAGAGTTTTCACATCTTGGTGCTATTCAAAAATAATCAACGATATAGTTCAAAGTGTTAACACATTGAAATAGGAATCAATAATCGAGGTTGCCCAAATATGACCGATTATGCCATTTGTAGGCACTTTCATGAGCAGTAGATATATAATATGCCTGAATGACGTTGACCAGTCCTAATAAATTAATTAAACAAGAAGAATTATGTATAATAGATGATGACTTTCAATATTTTATTTGTAAAAAATTACATTAAGTGATAAACGAATCAAAAGAATAAAAAATAATTCTTACTAAAAGAAAATATTGGAGTTAGTCTTACTAATTTAAAGCTCCGTCACATACTTCCAAAATGACATTGTTAAAGCCTTTAAATAGGTAGACATTAAAAATACTGCTGATCTTGATAATCTTTCAGTAAAGTAATTAATTTGGTAGTTGATTGTACTTTCTCTTACTATGCTATGTAGTTTGTGTTTGACAAATGTGTTGGTGATAATGTGTTTCCTGACCACATGAAGTTAAGCAAAGATATTTCACTTTTTAGATCTGGTAATATTCAGACCCCATCAATTTCAGACCTGTTTCAACACTACCTACTATATAAATCAGATGTGTGCACATTTTTACATTATTAATTTAATGTCTCCTAAACAGTTTGGTTTCACTTGGGATCGCTCTACAACCGATGCTGGTGTGAAGTTGATAAAACATATATTTGATGCATGGGTCTCACATGATGCTATTGGTGTAACCTGTTACCCTTCTAAGGCTTTTGATTGTATGCACCATAATACTCGGGTCATGAAAGTTCTCCGCTATTGTGTGGCGGGCCGTGACCTCGACATTCTTAAATCATATTTGAGTGGGAGAGTACAGAGACTCTATGTCATCGGTACGAGATCATCAGGGTCTGCAATAAGCATGGGTGTCTCTCAAGGCTCAATTATAGATTCATTTTTGTTTTTAGTTTATAATAATGACTTACTTACCTAGCCTCGTGGAGGGTATAGAACATGAGATAGTATTGTTTGCTGATGATACTTCCTTATTGATTTAAAGTTAATAGGCACCAATATTCTTCACATGACGATGTAACCAATACTATATCTAAAGTAGTAAATTGGTTTACAGTTAACAACCTGCTCCTTAATAAGACAAAAACAAATTGTATGAAATTTACATTACCCAATGTCAGACAGATTTACATTACCTAATGTAGTTAGAAACGAAAAGTTTAACCTTGTAGATACAGTTGTATTTCAATTTTACGTGCGGTTAGGGCAATTTACAGTCTAGACCCCACTGTTTGAAAGATAAGTTTAAGGAGATTAACATTCTTACACTAACGTCCCAGTACATTTATGAAAATGTTATTTAATGTTAAGATAAATAGTTACAGACATAACATTAATACGAGAAATAAAAATAAACTAATTGTTCTCGCCAGTCGTCCTCATGAAATGTCCAATTCATTTAAGGGGTAATGTATACGCTTCTATAAAAAGATTCCTACTGAATACGAGGTTTAAACCTAATGTGAAACAAAAACTTTATACTAAAGGTTAACGTATTTATACATTTTCTGCGTATTTGGACGACAAAAATCCGTGGTAGTCACCCGTTTATCTTTTTCAGGTATTCTCGATCTAAGATGCTTAAATATTTACAAAGAGCAATTCTTAGAGTTTCTTGCTCATTCTTCTCAGGGGAATCTGCCTCAGGAAAAAGTAGTAGAGTTTAATCGGTATGACGATTTTAAGTGTAATTAGCTTACCTATGAAATAAAGATTATTTTACATTGACTTATACTTCCTTCGTTACGTTATTCACCCTGCAATTATTGATATTAATGGTTTGAAAAATCAAAAATATTCACAATCTAATATTGAATTTGGCAATATTTCATTCATACATACATTAGTGTCATTAATTTTCACACAGTGCCACTGCGAATAGAGCATATAGGTATAATGTGTATCGAGTGAAAAAAAAAACGGTGAAAGTGAATGCAATAACATTGTTTTTTAATATATTGAAAGCATAATAAGAAACCAAAACAAACAAAGATGTAGGCACGTACTGACTAAGGAATAATGAAAATTGACTTATAAGTAAAAAAGGAACAAAACTAAATAATAATAAATACAATAAATATTAGACAACATCACATACGTGGCTCTGAAACCAAAGTAAGTAGCTAAAGCACTTGTGTTATGAAAATCAGAAGCAACGACGGTACCACAAACATTCAGACCTGAGATAATGTTGAAAACCCGGCCGACCGGCCGGGCTCGATGATGATGATGATGATGACCTCAGAGATGGCGACACCATGAAAACCGGTGTGCAAGCTACTCGGATACGGAGGCCGTCAAAATGTGTTTTGGTAAATGAGAAATTGTGTACTAGACCGAAGAATGTTTTGCATGTGACTACGTACAAATTATAAATTACAATATAATGTTCAGTGAGTGGGCTTTCATTCCAACAATACAGCTTGCGAATTGTCAGCTCTACTTCAGAATGGGAATGATACATAATACTGACCCTAACGGCACTGCGGTAAGAATATCTTGCAATTTAGTACGTTCCCTAGAGGTGGAGATAAGTACATATGAGCTTTATACAGAAACCGGATAAAAGCGAATACAGTCGCAAAATGCTACAACCCCATAACCGTCACGTCTTTCCTATTAAAGACCGCAGAGAATCTGGGTATAAGGGATAGAGCGCTCAAGAACATACTTGTACACAGATACAGTTGTTATTTATTTTTACTCTCTTATCTTTGTATTTTGTACTTTTTATTTATTTATTTATTTATTTATTCATAGAAAACCAACAGCTTAAAACATTTAATAAAAACAGGAAAAGAAATACAAAGCCAATTACAGGTTTCCACCTGTAACAAAAGACTTTTTCGTATTTTATTAAGGTAGTTTCGTGGTGGTCCGTCTACTGTATATTTATACTCTACAAATAATAAAAAAATACACAAAAACATTTATTTAACTGTCTAAATAATCGTAATATTGTGATACATAGATAACCTCACTAGGCTAGAACTGAGTCGTGATTATCATCAGTACACAAGGTTTTTACACAAGAACTTATTTTACTAATATTATTAAATTACTTGTAAAAGAAATATGATAAATTTAAATAATAGTAATAACAAACATAAAAATGACAGAAGAGCAATAAATACTGCGTGTATGTGTATGTGTGTGGAGTGTGTGTATGTGTGTGCATGCGTTTGTGAATATGATTGCGAATTAATAATACAATATATATTGTTATATTGCGTAAGTAGTATATAATTGTAGCTGCATTGCATATCGTCGGTGTTTTGTAGACAGGGCGTAAGCGACATTTCAAAAAAAATCAGAGGAGCTTGTTTTAGGGTTTCAAAACTGTTTTGAAATATTAAGTTATTTATGTTGGATTTTTTTACATTATAATAACTTTAAACTTACATATTTAATTCATTTAACTCAATACATACTATATTGTAATGTTCCAATTACTAAAAGGGGTATGGACCGTGGTATTTATAACATACAATATCAAAAGGTATTTAAGATAAACGCACACACGCTCAATTTGTTGACATGAGTTCTTATCCTGCCGTGCAAACTAGTATATCCAACTCACGTTTCAGCCTTTGACTAAAGTGCACCACTGAAATTTGAAATTAATTAATTCTAAAAGATAGTTGATGGAGTAAGGCTGAAAATATGGTTACTGGATTGTGTAATTTTACTGCTTTTCCGTAAAGAAAAGAACACGACTCCCAATCGCATCAACTCGTTTTTAATAATAATAACTACAGATGCCACGAATAGTGATTTGGCCGAATACCGAATATTAGGCGTAAAATCTGTGCATTTCACGCGCGACCTGTTACGACTTGTCTCATTGCGCTGCATGCATAGATAACGGGTGGTGGCGCGTAAAAAGATAAAATCAATACATGACAGTTTCTGGACCTGTTTTGAAGAAGTCGCTACAGATAATATGCAAAATGATGAGGTTGTAGAGAAAAGTTCTATTGGATATGAGATTGATTTTTATTTGAAACTGTTCGCCTAGATCGAACGACAGATCCTTATAAGTGGTGGTTTGCAAACGCAAAGCAGTATACAATCCTATCAAAATTTGAGTTACTATCGTGTCCTGGCTGCAGTGTTTAATATAGTCAGAGGCTATTCTCAGAAGCAGGAATTGTTTATGAGGAAATACGCAATCGTTTGTTACCAACCAATGCTGAAAAAATTGTTTTCATTAATAATAATAATAGTAATAATTTGTGATTACAATACATGATACACTTTGAGTAATATGTGCTTTTTTTCAACACTTTATATTCGATATTCGGCCGAATAGTTGTAGTATTCGGCCGAATACCGAATATTAAGTAAGTGGCCCAATAGGCCAAATACCGAGTAGTAGCCTAGTATTCGTGGTATCTCTAATAATAATGCACATGCTCCTAGCCTTGCACTAGGGAAATCCCCATGTATCGCGGGTGCCATGGACACACACATAAAACACCAGAAATTACATCCAAACTTACGAGAAAAATTAATATAGGCCATACAAATATTTCTCCCGGGACTTCTGCGTGGCAGACCAGCATTGTAACCGTTCGGCTACGGAGACAGTTATCGTAGTTGTAAACAATTCTCAATTTTTTTATTTGTTTTAATAGCAACAACATTTTCCTTTAAGACCAATTTCGTTCAACTTATTAAAAGTGCGAAGAAATATTAGGGGTTAAAGTATGAAATTGCCGTTTTATTGCAATAGGTTCTTTGAATTTTCGTAGAATCTTCATGGTTTGAGGTTTTCGAATGAAACTTTTTTCAAATGGTGTCTGTGTTTTTTTTTTTAAATTTGAAACATTTGAATATCGACGATCAATTGTTTTTGTTATTCAATTTAGAGGATTCGCTCTGGACCTTTTGGAGGGAAAAGTTACGTTTTTATTTTGACTTTCAATTATTTTGTGAAATCTGGTTTAAAGTGGAATAGGATAGTGCTATTGTGCCTTAATCGCAGATTAAAACGCGAAATTATACGAATCTCGAACTAGAATACCCGTAGCGGCCCGTTTTAAGGACTCCCGAGTCAATCCAAGCACGCCGCCTCAAATTGCCTATCCTCTTTGTGGCGGCCATATTTACAGAAACATAATTAAACTTCATGTTTAGGCTGATGGCTTTGCCAAAGCCTTAATAAATTAAAAAAAAAAAATTCAATTTAGACAAGAAAGATGGATACTGCGAAAATTCGAGTGATTTTTGAATACGAGTTCCGACGCGGAACTAACGCGGCAGAAACAGCCCGCAATATCAATGCTGCGTTTGGAGAGGGGTCTACTAATGAACGCACCGTGCGATTTTGGTTTAAACGCTTTCGTGATGGAAATTTCGACTTAAAGAACGAGGCACGAGGAAGACCGCCCACACAGGTGAATAACGATGAATTAAGAGAGATAGTGGAAGCCGATCCTAGTCAAACTACCCAGGAATTAGCGGCATGGTTTAACGTTACCTTACCCACAATATTGACTCACTTGCGTCAAATCAATAAAATAAAAAAATACGAAATATGGGTGCCTCATGATTTGACTGATCTGCAGAAAGAAACGCGTGTTGAAACTTGTGTTGCCTTGTTGAACCGGTACAGAAATGAAGGAATATTGGATCGAATTGTAACATGTGATGAAAAGTGGATTCTTTATGATAACCGGAAAAGAAAAATGCAATGGCTGACCCCAGGTCAAATGCCACAACAGTGTCCTAAAGCAAAACTTACCAATAAAAAGGTAATGGTAACTGTTTGGTGGTCTCAGCATGGTGTTATTCACTATAGTTTTCTCCGATCTGGTCAAGCAATAACGGCAGATGTCTATTGTGCCGAACTTCGAACCATGTTGACAAAACTAGCAGTAAAACAGCCCCGACTCATGAATCGATCTTCACCATTATTGCTCCACGACAACGCGAGACCTCACACAGCACGAGAAACCATTTTGACCCTTCAGGAACTGCAGTTAGAAACCATTCGTCAGCCTCCGTATTCACCAGACCTTGCTCCAACGGACTACCATTTTTTTCGTGATTTGGACAATTATCTACGTGACAAGAAGTTTTCTTCCCAGGAGGCAGTACAAAATGCTTTCACACAGTTTGTGCAGTCTAGATCGTCGGAGTTCTATCGCAAAGGCATTAATAACCTTCCCATTAGGTGGCAGCAATGTATAGATAATAATGGCAACTATTTTGATTAAATAAATTTGTTAAAAATTTAAAAAATAAACAATTTAGATTTTCAGTACAAATCGGCAATTTCATACTTTAACCCCTATTATATTGGTCAGAGATCAGCATGAAGCAAATAAAGCTTATATTATCACTATGTTTACTATGCCAATAATTTGAGATGCGTATTATATCTATTATTATCATAGAACGGAATAAGCAATAAAGCTCCTTGAGAAAGAGTTCGTCTAGGGAAATACCTTACCTATTTGTGCCGCCAAACAGTAACGTAAGCATTACTGCGTTCCGGTTTTGAAGGGTAAGGCTGCTGGTGAAATTACAGGCACATGGGATTTGTTAACGTACATCTCAGGATGTTGAACTGTTTGTAATACACTACCCAACTTAAGTTATTGCAAGTTAGACACCAAAAATATATTCCTTTAAGTTTATGAATTTTGTTTCAATTTCTTGTTATGTTTATTGCAATGTTCACAGACCTTCGACTGGAGTACCCAGATGCAGAGCGTGATAATGTCCTCATTCTTCTGGGGTTACGCAATTCTGCAGATACCAGCGGGCGAAATGGCCGCTAAGTTTGGGGGCCACATCCTTATCCTGCTATGTGTTGGTGTCAATTCCGTGTTGACTCTGCTTCTACCGTTTGGATCTTATTATGTGAGTATGTGTCAACACCCGTTGCATGGGTATTCCTTGTTAAGGGTTACATGGAGGCGTAATGAAAGTGCAGATGAGTTATTTGTACCATTTTTTGATGTTTGAAGTACTTTTAAATGATGCCTTCCCACACCGCAGCAGTAAATTTAGGTATTACTTGCCAAACACAATATTGAAATAAAGCACAGTGGACCGCTTCGAACAGACTGACATTTATTTTTGTAATGGACACAGTAAAACATAGAATGAGACAATGACAAAATAGAGTGTTTCAAAACTTATCAATTTCTACACTAGATGGCGTTACCATTCAATTATTAATATTATTTTGTTACCTATTTATTACCAATATCACCACTTCACAAAATAATCCAAAAACAAAAGTTACTATTAAACAGTGTTTTACAAAGCTAACTTAATTTTACTATTCCTATCCTATTCATGAATTTACAATGCTTCACTTTACATAAACTTTTAGTACAAATATCAGCTGGCATGTCTGATGTTTTTAAGTATTTAATTTTAACTATAATATAATAATAATAATAATGTTTATTGTCACAAAAATAGTACAACATTATAATGAAGTCCCTGACTCCAGAGCTAGGTTACAAACCTGTGTGACTGGAGGCAGTGTCCTCTCTCAAATTTTGACAAATTTAGTCTATTTCATTACAATAGGTACAAACAAAAGATTAAAATATGGTAGGTAAACTATCTAACTTAACATTTCCATGCACATTGTAAAGTTTATATATATATATATATATATAGTGTGTGTGTGTGTGTGTGTGTGTGTGTGTGTGTGTGTGTGTGCGTGTGTGTGTTTGTGTGTGTGTTGTGATAAAATTGAAATTTGCAAAACAAAATAAATAAACACTTCAGAAACCACTACCGCAATAACGCTTCGGTTTCATCGTAGTCTAAAGTTAATATCCAATTCTTAATTTTTAATTTAGCTTCACAAGCAGGTAATGGATATATGTTTAGAGTTTTATTAGTTTTATTGTACAGGTATGAAGGCATAAACAGTAGCTGTCGTCTTGCCCAAGCTGTGCGGCATTTAACGAAAGAACACACATTAGTTCGGGTGCGCTTCTCATTATAGCTGTCTTTGTTATATGGGGTGACTTTATGCTGTTTCATGACACTTTGCAAAACGAATAGTTGCCTTACAGAAAGTACTTTGCACTCTTCATATAAAGTTGTAGTAGGTAATCTAAAAGGACTAAAAGACATGACTTTGAGTAAGGATCTTTGTGCTCTTTCCAAGGCAAGTACATGAGTTTTGCAAGCACCTCCCCAAGCCCCTACACAATATCTCAACACTGACTCCGCGAGTGCATAATAAATTTTTCGCAGCAGCCCGAAATCAGCAACGTATCTGAGTTTTTTGAAAACGTAAATGAGTTTTCTGATACGCGAGGTCGTGAATTCTATATGCGCACGCCAACTGAGCCTGTCGTCCAGAATCACCCCGAGATATTTAACATTGCTAGACTTGGTAACCGTAAGACAGGTACAGTCCGAATTGAGAGAAGAGCTACAGGTGTGAAGTTTAATTACAATATTTGCCGGATTATTGTTAGGAGGAGTAAATTGAAGGAATGTCGATTTTGAGAGATTTAACGTTAGTAAATTTTCTCGTAGCCAACAACTAACACTTCGTAGACCACGCTCAGCAGTAACACGAACCTCGTCCCAAGTCCTTCCAGTGAAAACTAAGGCCGTATCATCAGCATAAGTAAAAATTTTGGTATTTTGTAATGCCATTCGACACAAGTCATTTATGCATACTAAAAACAGACTCGGTCCGAGAATACTACCCTGGGGGACTCCATAGGTGACCGGAGATTCTGCACTTACCATGTGACCAATTTTAACCTGTTGCGTTCGATCGCATAGGAAATCCTTTAAGATCCCAAGGGCGTCACCCCGGACACCGATACGATCTAGTTTGTCCACAAGGATGGGAATCGCGACAGTGTCAAAAGCTTTTGCCAGATCTAGGAAAATTCCCAAGCATTTCTGTCCAGCATCACATTTTGAGGTTACATGTGCTATTAGCTGACTAACCGCGTCTTCAGTACTCATATTTTGTCTAAATCCAAATTGTGAACTTGATAATAAATTATTATGTTCTAAGAAATTCATCAGGCGGTTATTTATTACCTTCTCAAGTACCTTAGAAAGTGAGCTGAGTACAGATATTGGTCTATAATTTGTGACACTGTCGCGAGACCCACCCTTGTGAACTGGGGTGATAAGCGACCTCTTAAAAGCTTTTGGAAATATTCCTTGGGATAAACACAGTTCAATAATTTTAGTTAAAGGAGGAACTATAATATGTTTCGCAAGTTTTAGAAATTTAACAGGTATGGAATCCCACCCAACGGCACAGTCGTTTTTAATATTTATTATTAGCGATTCAATCTCGGCTTCGTCTGGTGATAGTAGTACAATAGAATTAGTTGCTTGTGGACCGAATGAGTTATATTTACCCATATTGCAATTTACCGAGGAAATTATGGCATCTGCTAACTGCTTACCTACATTGGAAAAGTATGTATTTATATCCTGAATGTCATTACTACCGTCTAAACGCAATAGATCATCTGCAGTGTTTTTTGATTTCGAAATATCAAGAATCGATTTTATTGCATTCCAAGTTTCCTTATTAGACTTCGAAGAAATTAGTAAAGATTTTTCATAATTTATTTTAAGTTTCCGCAACAATGAGTTACAATAATTGCGGTATCGCTTGTATATAGTTTCTAGTATATTATTATTTGGGTCTTTTTTAAATTTTTATGAAGCCTATCCCTATGACGAATGCACCGAAGGAGACCAGATGTTATCCACGGTTTCAAGGTTTTTTTCCTATTAGGTACCTTGTATATCTTACTGTTTGATGTTATAGCAATAGACAGTTTTTCAACAAAAGATGTGGCGGCTATGTTAGCGTCACAGGAAGGCGTTATAAAAGAGAAATCAACAGATGTTAGGTTTTTAATAGCCGCTTCAAAGTCAATCCTTTTGAAATGGGAATCGGTGACAGGCTTGTGCTTTGTTAGAGAAAGATTTAACAACACGAGGGCATGGTCTGTTATCGTAGAATCAGTAACAAAAACTGAAGCCGGGAAAATAGTTTTTAACATTATATGATCCAAACAATTCCGTATCTAGTAGGGTACTGGTGACCAGGCAACAAACCCAATTCTGCAGACAGATCTAAATAAGTAGCACTATGTTTATCAATGCTATTACGCTTAATGTCAATGTTCAAATCACCAGCCAATATAATATTCTTTTTAGAGTGTAACGGACGAATAATTTCGTCTATTGTATTTAATAAAATGTCAGTGGAAGGTAGGGACGGTGACCTATAAATAGCCAGTATATGTATATCGGGTTCAAGGTCAAGTAAAAGGAAACTTGCTCCTTTCGGTTCTGGCTCAGTGACCGTACATCTTAAATTGTTTTTGACATATGTAACAATTCCGTCATTTTGATTAAAAAATTTACTATTTGAAAAGGCAATATAGTTTTCCATCTGAGGAATAGGCTTGCGATCATTCAGCCAACATTCAGTTAATATTATGATGTCAATGTCCATTGTAAACATAGATAATTGAGCTATTAATTTATCAAAGTTTTTGTAAATGCTTCGGATATTTTGAGTAACTATGTTAAAGGAATTAATAGTGTTTGTTATAAATTTGTTGCAAGTCTCTGTATCACAGGAGTAGGCTGTAGCTATTGAAATATTATCCAGTTCTAATGTGTTTTTAAGATGTGAATTTACCATTTTTAAAATAATTATTTATAAGTGCGTAAATAAACGTCATAATGTAAATACTATGAAGGAAATAATGAAATGCAATTTTATTATTTGATAAACTACTGTAAATAAAATAGAAATGACAAATCCTTAGACGCGCATGTGAATTTTGCTGAAGTGTGTGTAATTTTTGTGTGTGTGTTGTGAATGTAGTATATAGTTTAGTGCATGTGTATATAATTTTTTAACTGACTTGTTAGCAACTGCCTCTCTAATAAAATGAAATCTTACATCCGTGTGTTTACTTCTCCTGTGATACATACAATTCTCAGAAAGCTTCTGTGCACTTTGATTATCGTTATATATTTCAATTGGAAAATTATCTGTTCTAATTATTTCTGACACTACATTTTTTAAGAAAATTGCTTCTTTACTGTCTTCGCAAATAGCCATATATTCAGCCTCTGTGCTGGACAATGCAACACTTTGCTGTTTGCTACTCTCATGGGATATTACGCAACCAGAGTATACAAAACAATATCCAGCGTAGGATCTTCTATCTACTACATCTGAGGCCCAATCGGCATCTACAAATCCAAATATATCTAAGTTATCTTTTACATACATCAGACTAAAAGATTTTGTAGAACTTAAATATTTCAATACTCGTTTTGCTTGTTTCCAATGTGTTTCAGTATTACAATTATTAAACTGACTAAGATAGCTGACACAATATGATATATCAGGTCTAGTTAAAACTGAAAGGTACATTAAACTTCCTGTCAGCTGTTGGTATGGATAATTAGTAGCTACAATTTCGCCTTTATGAAGTTTTAAATTGACCTCCATAGGAGTATCTATATTTTTACAATTTTCCGTGTTAATTTTTTTTTAATAGTCTTTCGATAAATTGTTCTTGATCAATGCAAATTTTATTACTATATATTTTGATATTCGTACCCAAAAATTTTCTCAATTGTCCTAAGTCTTGTAACTGAAATCTGGCGCTTAACTGGCCTTTAAGGTGATCTACCTCTACTTTACAGTTTGAAAATATGAAAAAATCATCAACGAATAAAGCTACAAAAGCTTTCTGTCTGTCTGATGATTTTATAAACAAACATGGTTCATACACAGATTTTTTGTAATTTAGCTCTACTAAACAATCATCAACCTTTTTGTACCACTGCCTTGCTGACTGTTTAAGTCCATAGATAGGTCTATTTAATTTTAATACTTTATTTTCATTACTTTTATACACGAGATTTTGAGGTAATTGCATATAAACTGTTTCATCGAGATGGCCATTCAGGAAAGCTGTGGTTATATCCAAATGAGTTATAAATCTAAGAGAATCTCAGAGTTTAAATCTAAGTTTACACTAATAAACAATAATTTCAACGTGGAGTATTTAAGGACAGGAGAAAATGTTTCTTTATAGTCAATTCTTTCTCTTTGTGTAAAGCTTTTGCCACCAATCTTGCCCTATATCTCACTGTATTGTCAGTATTTATTTTTTTCTCATACACCCACTTGCACTGAACCACTTTACTGTCACTTGGTTTTTCTACCAATTCCCAAGCTTTATTATCATAGAATGACTGGAAGTCTTCCTTCATAGACTTGCTCCATTCATCTCGTTCACCACCACTCAACACCTCCTCATGAGTTAAATTGTCTTCACACATATCCGTATTCTCGGTTAAACATATATTACTGTACCCATACCTAGCTGGTGATCTGCTTTCCCTCTTTGCTGAGATATAATTTGCACCATTGCTAATCTCCTCGTAAGACATACTGTCACAAAACTCATCTGAGTTAGAAGAATTCATAGAACCATTTGGTACATATGTAACGTCCGCCGGATCTATTATGGTTTCTGAAGTACTCGAATTGAGTGTGTCATCTGGTACATTTTCCTTCTCTTCTACCATAACATCTACATCAGGAATTTTACTTTCCTGCTCTCGTATTACAGCGTGTGTCATATCTGAATTTGTATTATTTTCCATAATAATAACAACCCTGCTGGTAGTAATGCTCTTCGACTTAGGGTTATATAATCTGTAGCCCTTTTGTATTTTCTGCATATCCAAGAAGAATATATTTTTCTGCCTTTTTGTCCCATTTAGTTCTTTATATTTTAGGAACATGAACCATCGCAGTACTTCCAGATACCCGAATGTGGCTGAGATCTGGCTTTCTTCCTGTCCAGAGCTCGTAGGGCGTTTTATCTAATCCTGATGCCAATGTTCTACTTCGTAAGTAAATTGTAGTGTTGACTGCTTCAGCCCAAAAACTTTTCCCAAGATTGGCATCAAATAAAAGACAGCGAACTTTTTCCACAACCGTTCTATTTAGCCGTTCACAAAGGCCGTTCTGCTCCGGTGTATGGGGATTTGCTTTTTGATGCACAATACCAGCTTTTTTCGAAAAAAGTTCAAATTCTGCAGAACAAAATTCCCCGCCGTTATCTATTCTCAGTCCCTTAATGCTCTTGTCTTTTTGTTTCTCCACTAAAGCCTTAAATTCCTTAAAAAAGTCTTTGGCTTCACTCTTCGACTTCATGAAATATACGAAGGCCATTCTGCTGTAGTCGTCGATCAAAAGGAGAAAATACTTTGCCAGTCCTATCGAGACTGTTTCCATGGGACCGCATGTACCACCTCCAAAACACTGTCACATCTGGAACTTAAGTGTGAGAAAGGCAATCTCGCTAGCTACCCTTCACAACAAGTGACACACTGGGAAATTATCAATTTCAGCCTTTTTCGGGAATGAAACTCCCTTTACAGCGCCATTCTTCAAGTTGTTCAGATCCTTACTGTTAATATGACCTAATCTTCTATGCCATAGCAAACTTATTGTTACTGCCGAATAAGCTAACAAACAATCATGTTTTATGTCTAATCTGTACACTCCATTCACTAGATATGCCTTTGCAATAAGAATATTATTGTTTTTTTTATATTATTTATTATTTTGCACACTTCTTGTTCGAAAATAACTTGATTTCCGTTTCGAATCTACTCGCTCACTGATAGAAGGTTTGTAGTGAGGTTAGGAATGCACAAGAAATTCTTCACAGTTATACTGAACTCTAAACCATCCACTACAGTCGTTATTTGCGTATTTCCAGAGCATAACACTTGTACTTGCGTTTTATTTGCTACCACAATGGTTTGCATGGCCGGGTATCTGTCACCATTCACTAAAAGTTTTTTGTCGGTAATCATATGTGCACGGGCTCCGGGATCTATATACCAATCCGTATTATTATATGTTGAGTTCATGAAAAATAAACTGAACACTGCGCTTTCTTTGTCCTTGTTACAGTTACACTGATTTTTATAATGTCCCACTTGTTTACATTTGTAGCATTGAATTGTTTTTACGGGTTTCAAAGATGGCGTTTTCAACTTTGAAGTTTTATCGGTGTTGCCATATTTTTTGTTGCTATTCCAACCTTTAGACAAAAAAGCACTTTCCATTCCAGTGCTACCAACCTCCGGACTCATGTCAAGTAATTTCGCTTTAATGGCGTACGTACTTACTATCATGCCGGAATGTTCAATGGTCATTATCATCGGCGCGAATTTTTCACTCAGTCCCGCCAATAATAAGCATTCAACCCACTCATCAGTAATCTGAAATCCTGTACCTCGTAATTTTTGAGCTGTATCTACAATCTCGGTTATATATGTCGTCATAGATTCACTTTCTTCCAGCCGAATTGAAATTAAAGGCCGCAATAAGCTGATTTTTCTTTGAAATCCCCGGTCATTAAAAAGTAATTTCAGGTATTTCCACACATCCTGAGCAGTATTCTCTTCTTTTATGTGGACATAAAGACTGGAATCAATTGTCATGATTAATTTAGTTTTGGCTTTTTTATCTTCTGCATCAGTAATTTTTTCACCACTGTTGTTATTGATATCCATGCCCTCCAGTAAGAGAAACTTTTCAGCGGCAAATGCCCACTCATCGTAGTTTTCGCGGCCTTTGAGTTTTGGTACGTTAACCAGGTAGCTACCGGCCATTTTGACAAACGAATATAACACGTGGAACGTAACCGTAGTACACAGTTTATATTAAAAATTATTGCAAGCGGAACTTGTTTCGCTGATGTGAATCACACACAAATACTTTTTTCGCGAAATAAAATTACTTTTAAATTTCACTGGGCCCACAACCTATTGAAATAAAACACAGTGGACCGCTTTGAACAGACTGACATTTATTTTTGTAATGTACACAGTAAACCATAGAATGAGTCAATGACAAAATAGAGTGTTCCACAACTTATCAATTTCTATACTAGATGGCGTTGCCACTCACTTATTAATATTATTTTGTTACTTATTTATTACCAATACACAATAATTATTATTCGACGATTACTTCATAAATAAAGAAAATTATTTCATTAGAAAATCCGATCCCTCCACAAAACTCGGCAAGGAACATTCGTTACCTTAAATGAAGAACATATTCACTGCAACGGACTGTATCAATGAATTCGGGTGGGTGTTAACAAAGTGTGACAAAGACCAATTCGTACAGCTATATATCCACAAACAGAAACATTAGCTAAAAACAATCACATTTAAATTTAGAATTTAAATATAAAACTAAAACTTAAAAAGACCACTATAACATACAAAAGAGATTTGCAGCGACTGCTGCGATTCGCTACAGTCATTTTACAGATTACGGCTATTAGCCGCTCACGCGATGCGCTCCTCCTACCGCAAAATGGCGGCTATTTGGTTTCGCAAAATAGAAATGGATTCAGTTTAAATACAAGTTTTTATAAATAAAAATTATTATTCTGCATTGCTAAATAAATACCCTCCGTACTACCACTACAAAAACATCTCAAATAAAATACAGTAATGCACCGCAAATCCTGCACTTAAAAAGCACTAATGAAATTTTGGTGTACTTGGATAAATATGATAATATTCCGTTTGAGTGGTTCTAACGTTTACCATGAAATTACTCCTTAAAGTATAGTTTATAAACATTTATATTCAGGGTAAACTTAAAAAACGCTACTTACGGTATGTTTTCAATAAATAAACACCGAAATCACCAGCCCAAACAATAACACACACCATTGTCGTGACGTATTTTTGAAGTTGTTAATTTTTTTTAAATGACAGACCCAGGTATTAAAAACTTTATGGGTTGCTAGAGTAGTTACCGAAATAGCAATTAATATTAGGTATTTTACCTGTTATAACTTCGATATCCGATAAATCGATATAAAATCATCACCGACACCTCTAGGTGTGGTATGCGTCTACGGCTGCATGTATCGCGTGAGCGGATAGAGAACATTTTATTTTTTCAGGGAGATTGGCAACTAGTTTGCGCATTCCGTGTACTTCAGGGCTTAAGTCAAGGGTTTTTG